ATGATAGTGTGGTCTCATTGTATTAAGGAATACCCTCTCTAGGAACTCCAGTGAATGACCTTGTCTCAAAAAGTAAGTAAATAAGTAAATAAATAAATAAATAAATAAAAGATCCAATCAGAAAATGGGCAACTGAAATTAATAGACTTCTCAGAAGTACAAATGACCAACAAATATAGGAGGGCCGGGGATTTAGCTCAGTAGTTCCGGCACCTGCGTCGCACGCGCAAGGTCCCGAACTCGATCCCCGATACCGGAAAAAAAAAAAAAAAAAAAAACCACATAAATATATGAAAAAAAAATGTTCAACATCTCTGATCATTAGAAAAATGCAAATTAAAATAACACTCAGATTCTCTCTTAGCCCAGAAAGAATAGCTATCATCAAGAAATCTAACTGAGGGGTGGGGAGAGAAAAGAAGGAAATAATGGAAACAAAGCTTTTGTAAGTAGGGAGGGGCGGAGGGGTGGAAGGGAGGGAAGGGGAATGGGAAAAAAATAAGAAACAAGACATATGGTGTACAGGTACAAATTCCCTATAATGAATGTGATCATAATGTATACCTAAACTCTACCAGTAAACTCAATGTATAAAAAAAAAATCTAATAACAAATGCTGGTAAAGCTGCAAGGAAAAAAGAACCCTTCTACAATGTTGGTGAGAATGTAAACTATCGTAATATAACCACTATGGAAATTAGTTTACAGAGTCCTCAAAAAATGAAAAGTAAAAATTCCATTTGAGCCAGCTATTCCCCTTCTAGGTATCACCCCAAAAGAGTTAAAGATGTTATACTACAAAGATACATACATACTCACATTCACAGCAGAACAACTCATAACAGTTAAATCTTAGAAGCAGTCTATATGTCCATCAACAGATGAATGGATAGAAAATGTGGTATTCATATCCAATAGAGCACTACTCTGTCATAAAGAAAGATTTGTGGAAAAATGGATGTACCTTTGAGTCATTTGTAGGAAAATGGATGTACCTTGAGACCATAAAGTTAAGTGAAATAAATCAGACACAAAAGCTTAAATATCACATGGTTTCCCTTACATGAGAAAATTAAAGTACAGTATAGATTAAAGAGAAAAGCAAAAGATAAATAATAGAAAACAAAGAGATAGATGTTTTGCAAAAGGGAAGGGACCAAGAGTTGGGGAGAGGGGAGAAGGAGATGAACAAAGAACTAAGACGCGTTATGAACATTTACCAACCCCTCACAATAAATGCCATCACTGTGTATTACAAATAATAACAATATGAATAATAAGAGTATTTAAGGAGCACTGATTATGTGGCAGGCATCACATTAAGTATATTATATAAGTAAGTTCATTTCATAAGCACATTGTGAGATAAATATTTTTGAAGGAAATTTAAACACAGGCTGAAAAACTTTCCTAGTTATTACAAAGTTAGTAAAAACCAGACCTAGAACAAGAACATCTTGTCCTATGGCCCAAATCCTTAATCACTATACAGTAAAACTTACTGTTTCTTTCTAGTTATATAAAACCTTCTTACAAAATATGACTTGGAAGATGGGGGAATAGGGAGAGTGTGGGATCCAGAATAGAGCAATTATTCTCAAGTGCCACATTCTCATGTTGGGAAGAGGGAGTAGGAAAACTTTTCCCACTGGCCTTTTGTAGCTAGGATATTAAAGAAAATAATAATATTCTCAGAATATTGTATTCTAATTTAGAGTTTAAAAGTATATATTCTAGGGCTTGAAATGTTCAAGTGGTAGAGTACTTGCCTTGCATGCACCCAGTCCTGAACTGAATCCCCAGTACCACCAAACCAAAAAAAGAGTATATTTTACAGAAAAAGTGCAGTGAACGGTAGTTTACTCACAAAATACTATTTACCATGAACAGCCAAAAAGTGATAGTTTTATAAATATTTACTGAAGAACAGGTAAGTGCTACAAAGTATTCTAAGAGCTGAAGATACAGTACAACATGTCAGATAAAGTCCTCACTATCCTGGAGCTCACATTTCTACATGAGAAAAATAATTAACAAAAATAAGCATCTAAATTATATATATAAAGTAACTTCAGAAAATGGAGAAATGCTAGAGAAAATGAAACAGGATATAACATAGAAAAAGGGAGCATAACAGTGCTACCTCAAACTGGCTAATCAGAAAGGAACTTACTGAAAATATGTGAGCAAAGACAGGAAAACCAACATCAGAAAACAGAAGAAAAACGTTTTCAGATAGACTCACAACATAAAATTTTGTACGAACTGCGTCAACAAAAATGAAGGCCAATATGATTGAAATGCAGTGAAAATGATAGCAGTTTAAGATGAAGTTAATTGATAGGGACTGAGTTTTACTTATTTGACTTTACTATTCTTCATTATATACTTTCAATCAGTTGAACATTCCCTTAATATTTTTAAACTATTGTTTCTATTTTTGTTTGACGTCCAATAGCCAAATACTCAATTCTACTAGATTCCTTTAATTCTGTTTAGTTATTTTCCAAGATGTGCATATATTATTCCAAAACAAATTGCTAAAGACCAAAAAACTTTATCATCCCACAGGGTTTTCCATTCAAAACAAAGCATCCAATCCAACTGATTTTAGTGAAATGACTCAATGTTTTAACATGCAGGCAGAAAACAAGAGTTATTTTGTTTATCTACAAAGTTGGTATCTATCCTCTACCACAGGAAATTCAGAGGGAATCTCATGGCAATAACTTAATAGCTTTTCCCTAGTGTGGTCTAGAGAAAAGGCAAAAACAACAAAGTTAATGAACTTTTAACAAGCATTTATAGGAATTCTTAAAGATGTTTTATAAATGTTTTGAAGGTGATTTCATAAATGTGGAACAGTTATAATTGTTTTCATCTAATTATCAACCTTGCAAAATTCTGCAAGAGAAAAATCTTTAGCCTAAATGACCACAAATGAGAATTCACAATCTAACATTAAATGAGAGCCAAAATGTATAATAGATACTGTGAACAGGAAGAAAAGGTACAAGGAGGAAGGGAAATGAGGGGCAGGGTAGAGGAAAGGGAAGAAGAGAAAGAAAAAAATGAGACAAGAATGAAAAAATGTAAACAAAGCTTTTGTAACTAGGGAGGGGAGGGGGTGAAAGGAAGGGAAAGGGTATGGGAAAAAACAAGAACCAAGATACATCATGTATAGGTACAAATTCCCAGTGATGTGATTATAATGTATACCCAAAATGTACCAATAAACTTAATGAAAAAAAAAAAAAAGATGTTACTAGATCTCAACTGCTATCCTTCATTCCAACTTGAGAGGCCAGTATGGCATAATTTAAGCACTGTTTTGTTTTATACTAAAATATAACATTATTCAAGAATTAAAAATAAAACATACCTAGTAACTAATATGTCTACCCCTCAATTTTGACTCACTTATGACAAAAACAACTGACAAGGAATTTTACATTCTTACGTGTTCAAAATTTTTTTGAAAAAGGAACAAAGAAAAAAGTGTTTCTTCCTTAATACTATTTCCTTTAAATTTTTCAAATGTTTTAATCCTATGAAGATGCAAATATCAACAGCACACAGGCCTGATTTTACATTTCTGAATGACCTAAACAGTATTTTATCCGAGCCAAAGCCCATTCAGATAATGCTTCTGGGACTGGAGGTATAGTTCTATAGTACAGCACATGTATAGCTGGTTCAAAGACTCGGGTTCCATATTTATTATGTGCATGTGTGCAAGCGCGCACACACAAACACTACTTGGTCATACATGTATCTTCTAAAACATGTATAGTTAGTCCAAATACATCAACAGTTCTCATACTGTTGTTTGTTTGTTTTGCTTTGTTTTTCTGGGGTTTTTTTCTTTGGAGGGGGCAGTGCTGAGGATTGATCCCAGGCCTTCACACATGCTAGGCAACAGCTCTACTACTGAGCTCTATTCCCAGCTCTCTCATACTGTTAAGTCTAATTTTCCTAATATATTTCCTTCACCAGGACACTTGCTTTCAGATTTGATCCCCAGCACCACAAGGAAGAAAGATTTCTGTAATAATGTGGTTCTGGACAGATATCAAACACAGCAAACACAGACATGGCACAATGTCTTTCCAATGGCTGCTCTAATATAAGGTGCTCAGCATTATCTCCCAATATGAAGAAACATAAAGCACATCATAATAAAATTTTTTAAAGTCCTTTTCAACCACAGCCTATAAAGGTACTCCAGCATTTTCTTCTATTAATGGTACAATTTTACCTTTCACATTTAGATCTTTAATCTCCCTAGACTCCATCTTTATATGTGGTATTAGATACAGATCCATTTTCCTCTATACAGTAATCCAGTTTTCACAATACAATAAACTGAGCAATTTGCCTTTTTCCCACTGCTTTGTGACAAAAAGATTTTCAATATCATTGAAAGCTAAATAGAGGAAGGGAAAAGGAGATTTAAAAGGTTATAAATAGAGGAAAGAAATAAGGAAAAAAAACCCAGGTACATATAGAAGTTGAAGAGCTTAGCAAAGGAAGGATAATGAATAAACGAAGTTATTATCAAGCTAACTGATAATTTAACTTATTTACTCAAGTATATAAGAAGTAAATAGCAAAGGATAACTAAAGAGTAATTTTTTAAATGCATATGCCCTCAAAACTGCTCAGGAAATGCTTAATTTATGTTACATAATATCATAAATTTCCAGAGATTAGACCATCTTCCAGTAACCAATAAACTGGATTATATTTCACTTAGCATTTACTCTTCTTTAAACAGAACAAAAATGAAAATAAAGCACAGACATTATAAGAATCCAGAAGACTATTTTCTAAACTTCATTTTCCCTGAAAATGGGAATTTTCAAGTCACTTTAAAACATCTTTATTAGTTTAGCACCTATATCAGATTTTTTAAACATGGATTTAGTTCTCTTTATCCCATTAATGACAAAAAAACAAAAATGTAAACTACTCTCCGTAAGAATACTGTAAAGCCATACCTTTTATTTTCAGCCAAATTGGCTCCTTCGTCCTTTAACTGTTTGCTTTTCTTGGAACAGCCTTCAAGGAGAATTTCTTTCCTACGTTTAATGGCATGAAGCCAGTTCCCGTCATCGTTCTCAACCACATCCTTCTCATCAGCAGCTTCAGCTTCAAATTGCTGTGAAGTGGCTCTTGAGACCTTCTCACCAATTTTCCTCTTCCACCCAAAGGAAGCCATTCTGGAAAATTATAAAGAAAGAGCTGGAAAATTCAAGTTGGCCTTTTACAAAAGTATAAATCAATGAACTAATAGGTGAGTAAGGAATAATAGATTACACTATCACCAGTTTTTAACCTCTACTTAATGGACCTTGGTGATTATCAAGTGCTGCTACATCACAAAGAAAGACACCTGGACATTACACATTACTGCATTTCCTGACAGGAGTAGCACACCACTCATAAAGTATCTTGCAAAAAGTAATCCTAAATGAGATCAGGCCTCTACCAGTTTACAAAAAATATTGGACACAGTTAAGCATGCTCAATAACACATCAGAGATGCAGGCAGCAGAAAACAGAAACTAAAGAAATAAACTGCTACAGAAAGAGGGGAGAGTGGGAAGAAAGGCAGAAACCTCTAGATTAAGAGATGTAAGAGACATACTAACCAAACACAATGTGTAGTTCTCTTTCAATCCCAATTCAAAAAACCCAGTGGTAAAGAAACATTTATGAAGAAGCAATTGCTATTTGACAATACTAAGGAATTACTGCTATATTTTAGGTGTGATCATAGAACTGTGACTATATTTATAAAAAAGAACCCTTATCTGAGACTTCAGTATTAGGGAACAGGAAAGAAATGGAGAGGGAGGAAAAAAAGGTAATGGGGTAGAAATGATCAAATATGACATATCCATGAATGAATATGCCACAATGAAATCCATTATTCTATACTATCAATATGCACTAATAAATAACTACTGCAAATACTAACTCATAAATCCTAAAAAAGACATTTATCTTTTAGAAACATACTGAAATATTTTATTATGAACTTATATTTAGGAATTGTTTCAAAGCTAGAGGAGTGGGGAGCACAGTAGAGGGGAAGATACAGATGAAATAGGATTGCATAGATAACTGATGAAATTGGGAGATGAGTACACACAATTCATTGTACTTCTCTCTCGCATGTGTTGAAATCTCCCATAATAATAAAGAAATACTTTAAAAGATGTAAACTTCGTGACTTAATTCACAGAACTAGTAGGTGAATCAAAAAATAAGAAATGGTAAACTGTGTGGTAAATCTGTACTAGTATACCAGAGTAAATAATAAAAAAGAAAGGGTAAGTGCCAAGGATTTAGCTCAGTGGTGCCATGCCAGCCTGGCAAGGACAAGGCCCTAAGTTTGAATCCCAATGCTGGAAAAAAAAAAAAAGTGGGACTGCATTTGGCTGGGGATGTAGCTCAGCGGCACAACACCTGCCTGGCAAGCACCAGGTCCTGAGTTTTATCTCTGGTACCAAAGAAAGGATAAGCGATAGAACAAAGTTAAACTGCTGGAAGTATTTAACTAATATTTATTTACAGAAGGGATTAACTGAGGGATCCAACAATTTATTAGGTGCACAGATGGGTTTCAGAATACCACAGCATGGTTAGAACTGCATATATATGTTTTATATTGTGTGCATTCTGGAGAGAATGTCTAAGCTTTCAGCCTATTCTTAAAGGAGTCTGTAACCACCGAGGAGAACATGGTGGACTGGCCAACCAGAGGGACAGAGAAAAAAAATGAACCAGAGGCCTTTCTGAAACTATCAAAGAATGAGGGTTATCAGTAAGGGAAGAAGAGAAATTAAATAGTTAAAAAGTTCTAACAAATATCTAGGTTTTGCGGTGCTTGTTTGTTTCTTGAGACTGGGTCTTGCTATGTAGTTCAGGCTGCCCTTGAACTCACTATGTAGCCCAGGCCTCTAACTCATGGCAATCCTCCTGCCTCAGCCTCCTAAATGCTGAGATGACACCACCACACCTAGCCTAGATATCAAGGTCTTTATCACTGACACACATGGCTGAAGTCAAAAACAAATAACCACTGGAAGGAAAGAGACCAAAAAAGTAAAAGTGGCTATGAGATCATTCACTGAAAATGGAAAACCCCAAAATAATAGTGAGATTTGGAGATTGAAGAATACTGTGCATCATGGGATCTAAATTCTAATGAATATGAGGAAGTACCAATGAATCATGGGAATCAAGAAACAGGCTAAATATGTCAAAGGTGTTGTCACCAGCCTGTGGCATTATGAGGAGGTGGTGAAACCTGTCAGAGATGGAACTGAATGAGAGGCAGTTAGGTCACTGGGAATGTGTCCTTAAAGAGGCTAATGGGATCATACTTTCTCTCTTTGCTTCCTGGCCACCATGAGGTAAGCAGGCTCCCCCGCTAAGCCTTCTGGCTACCATAATGTACTGCCTCATGACAGGCCCCAGAGCAGCTGACCCAACCATGGACCAAAATAAACTTTTCCTCCTTAAGAAAAAGATAAGAAAAGAAATATATAGTGTAATACAGTGAACCACATACTTTCCACAGGAGCTGTGATTTTTAGTAAGACCTGGAAAAATAACAGATTATAAATTGCACTAGGGAGTTAGTACAATGCAAACTCCCCAGACCTGTCATAATATGGGAGAATGAGTTTCCTCTGTTTGTAGATGGCTATATGTATCCTAAGGTAAACAGTATTAAGAAATGGGTAAAAATAGAACTGTGGCTAAAAGGACCACAAGTCCAGAAACACAGAGTGAAGATAATTTGGAAGAATGTATCATTACAAAAGCCTCCCAAAGTATCAGGGTAAGACAAGATAAGAAGATGTCTTGTATTTATTACTGTTCTCAGAATAATGACTAGATTTTGTGGCTTAAAGTTTCCACATGGAACTCTGTTTCTATATTAGCAGCCTGGGATACTGGGCAGTATAATAGCTCTATTAATAGAATCAGAACCCTGGTGTATTTACAGAAGGCAGATTACATCAGAAATCACTGGACACGTCTGTTGATTATTAGAAGCAGAGGTTAGTAGGGAGAGGAATAGAAAATGAGAGACCCACATATATTTTTTTAAAGTTAATAGGTTATTCAGACTCCCACTACCCCTGACTATCTTGCAACCCAAACCACTGTTGTAAATGCTGAAGACATGGTTACCAACCAGTTATGAAATATCCACACGCTGTTGCTTCAGACGTAGCCTTACTTCCCCCATCCTCTGGCCCCCAAAATTCCTTAAGACCACACTGTAGAGGGCAGGACAGTACGAAGCTATATGGGTACACCAGGCCTGACCACACAAGAAATTGACAAGTTTCACTTTAAAGAGAAGGTTAAGAATAGATTCCTTGCAGACAAAACAGAAGTTAATAGTTAATACAGGTTGAAAAGTATAGGACAGTTCAAGGGTGTAGGGAAATAAAAGTGGGAGGTTTCATGCCTGAAAGCCACATATTTCTCAGGGAAATAGAAAGTAGTTATCTGTTCTAAGTAAAGGAAAAATAAATGGACCTGAACACTTGAGAAAAATAAAAGATCTTAAATAGTCATCATAGAGATTAGGAAAGATGCAACAATAAGGGATGAATAGAGACTGCAAACAGTATCAAGGGCCTACTGAGGTTAAAAGCATGAATCTGTTACCAACGCCATTAACAGTTTTATATTCAAAACTGTCTGGAGAGAGTACAGTCAATTATAATACAGGATAAGTAATACAAGAGAGTAATCAAAGGATGCTATGTCTCAGAAAGGACACTTTAGGCTTTATAGAGGACTTAAGTTTTAGTGAATAAAAGTAGATGGGGCTTAAAATGAGGGGTGAGTCCTAGAACATATACAAAGGAAAGTGCTGAGCTGATAGCTTAAATGGTACGGGGTGGGGGAGGTAACTATTAAGAGTTGAGGAGTCTCTTGGGACTGGGGATTTAGCTCAGTGATTTCGCTGCCTGCTGCACAAGCTCAAGGACCCGAGTTCAATCCCCGGTACCAAAAAAAAAAAATCAAAAAAGAGTTGAGGGGTCTCTTATGTGGTTAAAATGCTCTTTACCTGTTGTGACAGTGAGACAGCTCTGCAAACACCCTAAGAGAGTAGGAATTATACACTTTAAAAGAGTGCATTCTATGACACGTCAACTGTATTTCAATAAAGCTGAGTTTTTCAAAAAAGATAAATAGTATGAGTTTATTGTTCCTCTAAGGTTATCTGAACATAAAATTAAAACTTCTTATGAAGGAGGCTTTCTTAAATCTATAATTAGATGCAAGATGCCAACATCCCAGCCTCAATTTTTCACCGGGATCAGAAAACATATCACAATCATACAGGTTTAATGCTAAACTCGTGAAACCAAACAAATTCAACACTTTCTACACAATTATATTTAATAAGTTCTGCAAAACTTCTAAAACAGTGTCACTGTATTCCAAATTCTCGTACTGGTACATTAATCTCTACAGCAGATAAATCGATGGTTGACATTTTACCCGGCAACAAGCTGTCTTGAGCTTTTAGCAGAGTAAAATGCCTTGCTTGTCTCGACTCGGTCTGAGAATGCAACATCCAAGACGAAAAACCACTGCATGGACATAAGAAATCACAACAGCATCCTTCTAGGTAAAGAGATGATTCAGAGGTGAAGAATTCAAGACAAGATTTACCCAGAAATGCCACCGCATGAGAGAAACCGGTATTAGCGACTTTCTCTTCATCAGCCAATAATAAAAGTGTTCGTCAAGACAAAGCTCATAAAGGCTGCCCTGGACGTCACCTGCGAGTTCAGCACAGCGGCTCTCGGCCCGACCACCTTACAGGCCGGCGCACAGCAAACTCGGCTCCGCTCTCGGCCCGCTACCGAAATCTCAGAGCGGGGGCCAGAAAAGCGCCAGGCGGTGAGGCAAGGGTGAGCCCGACCGCAAGCTCGCCTGCCCCTAGAGACCAACCTCAGTGCCGGTTTGGTCAGGCCTCCGTCGAGCCTCGGACTTCGCTCCTTGTTCTCCTTTCCCTCCTCTTCCTCTGGCTTCCACCTGATAATCCCTGGCTCAGTGTTTACATTCCGCTTGCCCTTTGATCACCGGAAGCGGAAATTGTCACTCCTGATTTAATAGGGTACCATCCTGTCTTTGCTCCCGGTCTCCTAAGAAGCAAGCTGAACCACCCTGGAGGCATCGGAATAGTCCAGAGGAAGTGGGCAGAAGAAAGGATTTTTGCCGTGGATTTAGCTCTGTGGTGCCGCCACCTGCCTCGCGAGCGCAAGGTTCCGAGTTCGATCCCCGATACCAAAAAAAAAAAAA